CCATTGACGGAGCGGGGTGACTACAAGTAGTCCATGGACTGATGGGAATGATCAGGAAGCAGTGAAACGCCACAGACTGCGATCAAAGACTTATTTAAACGGACTAACGAATTTAACACATGTGACATGAACACTCCACATCATAATGGAACTGAAAGCCGTCTTCACACTGCCCTCAAACCAGATACCTACTACCGCACAGAAACATTCTTGACTCATCAACACTCGTTGTTAGTCCCTCAACGACATCAAACATCCAGACAGGATGATGTTTCAGATGTCGTGCTGTTAACAGAGGCAACCTGAGGCTCATTGGCTTAAAGGACGCTGATTAGGCCTGTGGTGCATGCGCATCGTGCCTCTTGTTCTAATTGTAGATGTGATTTGAGATAACAGGAAAACCAGGAATGTTCTGAAGCCAGTCTACACTTAAATGACGAGCAGAGGACAATGGCTAATTAATCTGATAAGTAGTTAGATAATCTGAGGTTTATTTAGTTCACCTAAAGTTTCATGAAGGTGTTTTATAATCGAAGTCTAACTTGTATTGAACTTCTGCTCAGCTTCTGATTCTCAACCGGTTTACTATGGTTTAAAGAAGTTCAACCACAAATATTTTACCTGAAACCTTCGTAGAATTAAGGATTTTGAAACTTCTCGTGTCAAGATAGACCACAAAACTTGTAAGAGTGGGGAAGTCAGGTAGAGGATTTTCCTGGTCGTCTTAGCTAGAGTTTGACACAAAGTTCATTGCAAAGATCTTAGTCTTATCCGGAGAGGATGGAATAACTTCAGGGCCACTAATAATAGTAGACATTATTTATTGTTATTATTATTATTATTATTATTATTTTAAGAATTTTGTTAGTGATTTTCCAGAACTCAAGGGAATCATGACTTCTGTTGTCAATTCTAGTTATGACTGACCTTGACAGAGCTGACCTTGACATTCTTCAGTACACTTTTGCGATGGAATTAGTGGAGATGGTGACCGTTGACTGTAGCACATTTAAATATGTACCACATTGTAGCTGAGGCTTATTAAACTCTCAATACCGAAAAGGATCCACTCAGAAATGAATTGGGCTATTATGAATGTCATGTTTTTGAATAACGTTGAGGGAAGAGATTCAGCATTAAAAGATCTAAAAATTTCCAGTCAACTTTGGCGTATCAAAAACTTTCCACTTAAATAAGACATTGCAGGATCATATTGCTTTGGCATCGATCCTGACACAGATCAGTGAGTAGTTTGAAAAACCCAAGGGAAGTGACACAACAGATGAACATTGATCCGAACAAGAGTGTAAAGAAGAGAGTTAACTGATAGGCGGGAATTCGTGATGGAAAACATCGATTAAAATCCCCATATCGGGTAGTTTGATCATGGCAAGGTAATGTGAATTATCGGAGTACGAATGGGATATTCAACTGATGGGACATTCATTTTCTGAAATTACGGAGATATTTTACGATCAAGAGTGTCATATGTATATGAAGAATACCTGATGAAAGACATTACCGCCTCGCGTGGCCTGCATAGTATCCGACTTTCTTCTTCTTCTTCTTCTTCTTCTTCTTCTTCTTCTTCTTCTTCTTCTTCTCTGTGACGTCTCTTCAGGTTGTGGATGATCATGGCTCGCCACAATTTACTGTCTTTTGTAACTCTTAATAAATTTTGTATTTTCACTATCGTTACGAATCACTATGCTTCTAGCCATATAAACAAGCCCGTTAGTTAGGATATTCGCTGCTTTTCTCTGTCATTTTCCTTCAATATATCCTGAGAGTGTCACATTTTCTAAGCCCTCTTTCTTCGTTATGTGCCTGAACATTTCACTCCTCTTTAGGATGTTAAGTACAAGTGTTCTTTTTGTTTCCATTTCCCCTAAAACTTTGCCATTGTTCACATGTTCAGTCCATAGTATTCTTAGCATACTTCTGTAGAACCACTGTTCTGTTGCTTCACGTCTCTTCTTCATCTGTGAGGAGATTGTCCAGCATTTCATCTAGGAGGTTTGACCAGAGACATCTGCCTAGAATTGTTTGAGATTACAGGAAAACGACGCGGTCTCAAATCACATCTAAAACCAGAACAAGAGGTACCATGCGCATGCGCTACAGGTCAAATCAGCGTCCTTTAAGCCAATGAGCCTCAGGTTGCCTCTGTTAACAGCACGACATCTGAAACATCATCCCGCCTGGGTGTTTGATGTCGTTGAGGGACTGGCAACGTGTGTTGATGAGTCCCGAATGTTTCTGTGCGGTAGTAGGTATCTGGTTTGATGGCAGTGTGAAGACGGCTTTCAGTTCCATGATGGTGTGGAGTGTTCATGTGACATGGGTTAAATTCGTTAGTCCGTCTAAACAAGTCTTTGATCGCAGTCTGTGGCGTTTCATTGCTTCCTGATCATTCTCATCAGCCCACGGACTACGTGTAGTCACCCCGCTCCGCCAATAGGACAAAAACAGTAGTTTATTCAAGCATGATAATCTACCATAACACTGTCCAAGTTAAACAAAATTGGACTGATGAGCATTCAGATTTTTGACGAAATATGTAGCCACCAACTTTGTCAGTCATGAACAAGCATTTATGATCTATTGACGCGCAGGATTGTTCAGCTAAAAATATCAAAGCCGTGTAGAGAACTATCTAGATGGCATGGCTCAATATATCTTTCGACCACTTGTAGGATCGATACCATGTTGACCTTCCGTTATTAAACTGCTGGAGGAGGTTCTACTCGATATTAAGGACCTATCAAATGAGTTATGGCAAGTTTATAGATTGCTATCTAGCTTGGTAGATACTTGTAAATATGTCAATAGACAGGTCCAGACAGGGAGGAAACAATAAAAATTTATGGTGATACTTAAAATCAAAAATCAAAGGACCACACACACTCATATATATATATATATATATATATATATATATATATATATATATATATATATATATATATATATATATATATATATATATATATATAATTGGTATATACGGAATGAATTCCAATAACCAACAATTACTATTCTTAAAAGAGTGCTCAATACAAAGTAGAGCAGATATAAATATTTTTATAAAAAAAAATTATAACATAAGTATGTTATAAAATCACTACAAAAATAGTCATTTTGTTTCAACATACTCTGTGTCTTATCAAGTGATGATGTTGAAAATAAAATCTATTATTTATTTATTTTCAACATCATCACTTGATAAGACACAGAGTGTGTTGAAACAAAATGGCTATTTTTCTAGTGATTTTATAACATACTTATGTTATAATTTTTTTTATAAAAAATAATTATATATATAATGACAGGTGAATGTTATGGCACATGATAGCCTAACAGAACTCACATTACAAAATGCAGAATGCTGGCAATGACTGGAATCGAACACAGACAAGACAAGCGGCTATTTTTAACATCCTAACGGTTATAAAAGTTAAATGGCGAGATACATGCACAGTGTGGTAGATAGATAGATAGATAGATAGATACTACAGACTGGAGTAATGCGATACATATGAGCAGATGGACTGATTTGGTTTTACGGCTTTTATCGGCCATTTAAAGGCAAATATATTTAGATAAATAGACAGAAACAGAATGAGATATGAAACAACAATAGATAGATTGATAGATAGATAGATAGATAGATAGATAGATAGATAGATAGATAAGAGCAGAACAAGATACGAAACAGAAATAGAAAATAGACAGGCATTTAAAATTTCCTTCTAATGCCTATGTATCTACCTATGTAGATAAATTGCTAGGGAGGTGCCCATTGTGTTTAAATACTTTTATTCATACTGAAATTTATTTATATATTTCAGCACTTTCTTGCACGAACACACACACGCACACCCAACAATACACAAGTAATAAATATTTCTTTTCAACACACACACACATACATATATGTTTAGATGGATATATGTGCGAATTGGAAGGAAGTATTTTTTTAATATTTTTGTTTGCGTGTGCATATATATATATATATATATATATATATATATATATATATATAAATAAATATATATATATTTTTATATATGCCTTATATATATATATATATATATATATATATATATATATGTATACATATATATATATATATGTATAAATATATATATATATATATATATATATATATATATATATATATATATATATATATATATATATATGCATGCATGTATATAATATAAATGGAATAAATAATTCCTTCAACGACGCATGTATATATGCATACATTTATTTGCATATAGAATATACACTCTCACATATATATGCATGTATTTACATACATATATGAGCATATATGCGTACATATATATCTATATCTCGATATATATATATATATATCTCGATATATATGTATATATATATATATATATATATATATATATATATATATATATGCAAAAAAATATACCTATATATATATGTATATACATATATATATATATATATATATATATATATATATATATATATATATATATATATATATATATAGCTGAATTTTCTCAGCCATTCATGTATCTAGATATGTAGCGGGGAGAATGCACTGAGTGGCCTGTTTGCTATGTGTCTGTTCAACAGACGATGCTCATGTAATTCCGAATATACATAAATCTCATAGATTCTTATTTTTATCTCTGTGACTTGAAGCGTGTAGGCAGATGTGATGCCCGGTACATTTGGGCAGCCATAATACTAATAGGATTTTGTATGGAATTACGAGTCAAGGTGAAAAAGGAATAAGAGAAATGATAAAGAACGTTTAATGGCAAAGAGATACCGGGAAAGAGAGAAGGAAGAAAAAGAAGTAAAAGAAAATAACGATGAAAGAAATGGAGAATAATGAAAAAAAAAAACGATGGTTTGAAAGTATTAAACAGAAAAAAAAATGAGGAAAAAGGTGAAGAAAGTATTTCATAAGAAAGAAAAAAATGAGAGATATCAGAAAAGGAAGACACTTAGAAAGAAAAGCAGAAAGGATGAAAGATAGAACGACAGACAGACAGAAAGAAAAAAAGAAAGAAAGAAAGAAAGAAAGAAAGAAGCTGTAGTATAAAGTGAGAAGATGGCTCTCTACTAGAAATATGAAAGATTATAGAAGACTAATTACCCGGAATGTCAAGAAAGAATGAATGAAGGAAGGAAGGAAACGAACATATATATATATATATATATATATATAATGAAATGGATTAAGTCCGAAAATTATTTACTATATATTTTGTTTATATTTATTTTATAGATATAATTTATTTAAATAAATGCTCTGTTTAGATAAAAAGGCAGAAAAGAAAGAAAGAAAGAAAGAAAGAAAGAAACGGTAGAATAAAGAGAGAGGATTGTTCTTTACTATAAATATGAAAGGTCATAAAAGGGTAAATACCGGAAGGTCAAAAAAGAAAGAAATAAGAAAGGAAGGAAGGAACCGAATATATATATATATATATATATATATATATATATATATATATATATATATATATATATATATATATATATATATAAATGAAATGGATTAAGTCCGAAAGCTATTTAATATATTTCCTATTTATGGTTATTATATATATATATATATATGTAATTTTGTAGAAAATATGTTATACGACAGGTCAAAAGACTGTTTCCTCGTAGAAATATGGGTTCGATTACTGTCGGAGAACGCATATTTTCTACGAAATTTCTGGAATATGTAGCCTGGTAAATATAATTAATACTATTTAATTAAAAACAGAGAATTTACTTAAATTAATTTTAACTATGAAATAACGTATAAACAGAAAATATTTTAAGTTAATTATATAAATTCCATATAAAAATAAGTCTGCAAATAGTTCTTTTTTTGAGTTAAGTTTAAATTTTTCGCTAGTCGCTGATAAGTGTACAACCCAAGATACAAATCCAAAATACTTTTACAAACATTGTATTTAGGTTTCTGTTTCGACCATAAACTTTCTAAAACTGCAAAACTCCAACGCGAAGGATTTGCGGATATATGTTTATATGGACTTTTGTCCCTGTTTTGGTGCTGGCAACTCACTCCCAAAGTTTGTAAATGCATTTGTGATATATTCTGCATATATATATATATATAAATATATATATATATATATATATATATATATATATATATATATATATATATATATGGTGGACTCTCCTGTCGTATTTGATGAATGAGGGTCAAGGAGCTCAGTTCCTAGGAACCGACAGTCCAGACACCAGCACATATGATGCGATTATAGTGGTGATGGGTTTGTGCAGAACTAACCACACTTTCTAAAGGGCCGAATACAGAGATCTGGTGCACCACGTGCCACAAGGTCCCCAAACAAACCCCCGGAGGTTTTGAATTCAGAGTTGTCTTTCTCCTACCCATCCAAAGCTATAGAACTCAGTCTGTACTACTATTTACCCATAGCTTCCTCCAACCGAGTCGCTATCCACTACTCCACCGTGCCTCCCCATATATATATATATATATATATATATATATATATATATATATATATACACACACACACATATATATATATATATATATATATATATATATATATATATATATATATATATATATATATATATACACACACATATATATATATATATATATATATATATTAAACATTTCACTCTGCGCAAGGCAATAATGCTACTAAGATCCAAGGGATTATTAGGGCTGAAAGAGAATAGGAGGAATCTAGTGAGAAGAAAGGACAATAAAGCAACAGTATTCAGGTAGACAGGCGATGGCGATTGACGTTGCACTGAATTTTTTGAAAATCGTAATTGGCTGGGAAGCAAGAAACCGGAAAAGAGTTTTACATTTAAGAAGTGCAAGAAAGAAACTATTAGACTAGAACATACGGTCACATCTCACTAGTTCAACAGTAAAACGCTGAGACATTGTTCCCAATTTAGTGGCACGTAGTCGAGCATCAAGTGTGTGAAGCTCAGCAGAACAATTGCCATGAAGATATTTGTAGAAAAGATAGCGGGAAGCCACGTCATTGCAGCGTTAAGGTAACTGAAGTCAAGATGCCAGGTCAGGATCGATTACATTGCAGACTCTTCTTTGGATTTTGTCAAGGATACCAAGATATCTAGTAGGAGCACTATACTAGATATGGCAGCAATATTCAATGCACAGATGAATGGTAGATATATAAATGTGCAAGATGGATTTTGACAAGAAGAATAGTCTGGCACGAGACAGCGAAACCAATTTTCCTAGCGGTAGACCGAGCAATATAATCACTTCACTTCACATCAATTGGAAAACATGAGTCCAAGAAAGCCGAAAATATTTCTCTTGGGTGTCAATCTGGGGACAGTGATGAGGATTCGACGAGTCTAATGGTACGGTAGCTGAGAAAACTCACTCTGATCGTTCTGGAACGACACAGTGAAGCAACTTTTGTAGCAGCAGTCCTAGGAATTAATTCAATATACAGAGAGATAAAGAGAGAGAGAGAGAGAGAGAGAGAGAGAGAGAAAGAAAGAAAGAAAGAAAGAAAGAAAGAAAGAAAGAAAGAAAGAAAGAAAGTGGGGTGAAAAATTAGAGAGATAAATAACTTTAAATGAGAAAAATAGCTAGAAAGACAGAAAGGTCTAGAATGAAAACAATGTAATTGAATCAAAGAGGGGGTAATATGTAAAGTCTTAAGTAAATAGCCATGTATCCATTATGGCGTTCGAATAAGAAAGCAAGAAGAACTGAAAAAAAAAACGAAACTTAGAGACCAATTGACAGAAAAAAATCGCTGTGTTCAGAAAAATCAAACAATGAAACACAAAAGCGAAAAGTAAAAAACAAGACAAAAGTCACTCACACTGAATAACGAAAAAAGAAAGAGAAAAGAATTGAAAAATGGAAGATTCTTAGATTAGCAAATAAATAAGGGAGAGAAAGAGAAGATTGAAGAAAGAAAGAAAAAAAGAAAAAGAAGGAAAGGAAGAAAGAAAATGAAAGAAATAATAGAATAAGGACAGAGGAGAATCCAGAAATAGAATTCTGAAAGGTTTTAAAACGGGCAATTATCGGGAATATCAAGAAAGGAAGAAGGGAATTGAAATAAAGTTATCCACAGCCTCAACCAGGCATTGAACTCACAAACTTTGGGTCAGTCACTGGATCAAACTAACGTCTTTATACACTGTGCCATGTCTCCTTGAGGACATCTGGGTGTGAATAGTTCGAATAATGTAAATAGTTTACATAATACCTCATCTCAGAAATATAAACAGATACTGAAGGGTCGAAACGTTGTAATAAATATGGCGACAAAGATGAGGACAATAGTCCGAATAATGTAAATAGTGTACATAATACCTCATCTCAGAAATATAGACAGATACTGAAGGGTCGAAACGTTGTAATAAATATGGCGACAAAGATGAGAACAATAGTCCGAATAATGTAAATAGTGTACATAATACCTCATCTCAGAAATATAGACAGATACTGAAGGGTCGAAACGTTGTAATAAATATGGCGACAAAGATGAGAACAATAGTCCGAATAATGCAAATAGTGTACATTATACCTCATCTCAGAAATATAGACAGATATTAAAAATGGGTATCGTTTATGACCAGGCTCTCCAGGATTTAGATTCGTATGTGGAAAATATATGTTGTCCAAACATGAGTACACAGCTCGGAAAAAAAGTTTATTTTATTCTATGCACTAAGTATATTTTTAAAAACAGTATTGATTGTTTTCCTAATAGCGTATGTAAGTATAAATCGAGTACACAATGTTAAAAATAGTCGCCATGAAGTCATAGTTTTTAGTCGACAGACGTGTAGTTATGTAATCACTTGGGAAAGAACTCACTTCCGAGTTGAAGGAACGTGTTATTTGTTTCTACAAACATAACAATAGATGCCAAGATTAGCTACAAAACAGTTTCAAGATGGCGACAAAAATATCCTTTTTTAATTTTCTCTCCCTCTTTTCTTTTGTTCTTTATCTCCTTCTCATTTTCGTTCAATTAACTTGAGAATATCCTCTTTCTTACACCCTCCTCCTTTCTGCGTATGATTTTATTCTTTTTGCACATCTTTTCTCTCTCTCTCTCTCTCTCTCTCTCTCTCTCTATATATATATATATATATATATATATATATATATATATATATATATATAGGTTTTCATTAAATATGACAAACAAGGTGCTTTGATTTAGAATTTATGCAATTTATCATGTGATCTCATAATTTTTTCTTTTCGGGGGATAAAAACTGTCCAATTGTTCTTACTTTCCGAGCGCTTTCGGCTATACATTTAGCCATTTTCAAGGTTAAATGTTAACAAGAAATAGATTGCTGTATGTATGTAATTATACATTGTTTCATTTTCAAAACCCGGTCAAGATATTTTGACCATGTTCATAGTTGATATTATTGAGTGTTGTTTTTTTTTTTATTAATAAGGCTTCCATTATGTTGAATTATATTCATATATATATATATATATATATATATATATATATATAATTCAACGGATTCTATTAATTAGATGTTATTTTTAGTGTACACCTGTAGCTGAGTCGACGCTACATTTGCTTATTAAACAGCATATTTATTTATTTTCATCTACCTGCCTGAATATTCGAGAAAACGATTTAAAGAAAATATACTCCCTCCGGCAAGATTCGAACCTGCGTCCCCTTGGACAGGTGAAAACGTCGTTAGATCCAACGTGTTTTAGATCTCTCGGCCAGGAAGTGCGTGGATGATCAAGTAAAGTTAAATAAGTAAGTAATAAAATCTGTCGGATTAATAAAAAAAGAAAAGAAGTTACTTTTTTAGAAATTACTGTGTTTACTTTAGGATACGAAACTGATCAGATATGTATATTTCGAGAGTCAGGAGAAAATTTGTGTTTAAAGGCATCCAATGACGCTGATTGTTTTTTTTTCTTTTTGACTACATGTTTTTCTTGCTTAGCAATTGAGATTGACCCGGTTCAAATCATTGCAATATTTTTTTTTTAATTCTTAATGGCTGGTCATAGCCGAAAAAGCTTCCATAACCAAAGAAGACTTGTTCTAGGGATGTTTTAAATATATTCCTTTAAAGCACAACTATGATATCGTGTTATGGACATGCTCAGCAACGTGTATGGTTTGGTTTCTTTTCGTTTGTTTTACGGTATATCAACCTCAATCTGTTATTTACTGCCGACAAAATGTTTGTTGCTGATAATTTTTTTTTCAAACACATATTGCCAGTAATATTTTCCTTCAAAAATCTATTTCTGATAATATTATTTCAAAAAAGTATTGCTGGTAAATTCATTTTTTGCCTAAAATGTATTGCGGAAAATAATGTATTGCTGGTAATAATTTTTTTTTTACAAAGTATTTCTGGTATTAAGACCTATTTTTACACTTTCATAGTGTTTTGACCCCAGTTTGGGGGCTAACCATTTGCCCATAGTTGGGACCCTAACAAGTACTACCACCCAGTTCAATGCGAACCTGGGAAGACCAGCAATTAAGAGGTGGATCCACGCTACTCAAAGCCTCTTGATCAGAGGTCTTGCTCTTGGACGTAGTTTATCGTCTTATCCAGGACGCGGATGTAGTTTATCGTCTTACTCAGGACGGACGTGTATGGCAGATATCATGAATGGTAAAGGGTAATCATCAACCCCTGTAGAATTAAGTCAGAATCATTAAGAGAGAACAACAGTGGATAGTATGACGTCTAGAAGAACGATCACTTGCATTGGCCTATGGAAACATCATCAGTACAACTGGCATTGAGATAAACACCTTGTAAAAAGACAGGGCACTAAAATATGTTTCCACCTGTTATGGTAATTTACCCATGAACACATGGACTCTCTCGGCTATAAATAGGAGCAGGTACTGCCTTTTGGAGAGAGAAGTTTCCAGCAGTCAGCTCTAAAAGGACCGAACATTCTTGCTGTAACACTCTCGTTTGTATGATTGTATTACTGTTTCTGGTAATCTATTTGTTTAACTCAATTCCTCTCTTGTGCCTTTATTTGTGGCCATAACAAGGCCACAACACCAGCCGACTACAGACATTTTTTTAAAGGCTGCAATTTTATGACCACTTGATTTTCCCACGGCCTTGTGTATTAAAATATTGCTTAAAACATATCTAGTTCCCTGGCAGTTGAGATTTCAATCCCTTGGTCTGATAGTAATGAAAGTTACATACTCCAATTCAGTGGAAGAAACTCAATACTGTTACAAAGTCGGCTACTAATAGATGCATGATAAGTCTTAAGTATGGCGAATGAGAAAAATATACTCCCGTGGACTACGTAAACAGATAACCTTTGACCGGCAGGCATCTGAAGAAGTGCTGAGGGTATACCGGTCGAAACGATGTGAGTATAACGATGTCGAAGATACTAGTCCAAATAGTAAAGACCTAAAAAGTTGAATTTAATCCGCATAAATATTTCTATTTCTCTATCTCTTTCAGAATGCGAGTGACCATGGCTCTCCACAGCTTTCTATATTTCAATGCTTTAAGTTATACTTGCTCGCTTCCCACTCTGTTTTGACTTTATAATTTCTGTTCTACTATACATTTAATCAAGTTAGTTATGCCTTTTCCTGGCTGAAATTCATGCTGAAATTATCGGTTCTCAGTTTGAATACCGGAATTAATCCACATCTATCCCAGACAATACTTAAAATCGGCGACCGCTTGGATACACCGGCTACTGTAAAAAAACTTTTGCAATACGAAATATGTGTCTGCTTGAAATAACCTAAAATGGGCTGATAATCCGTTAAAAATCAAAGCAAATCATTCATCCTGTTTTTTTTTTTTCAGGATAACTTCAGAGTGGGAAGTTCTTTAAGCCTTCTTTTCTCATCGAACTCACGACGGGAAAAAAACGGTTTGCAAATTTATTTCGATAGGCCTCTCTCTATAGTAGGAACCTATTTTAATAGGCCTCTCTGTATAGTAGGAAGCCAGGAACCTATTTCGATAGACCTCTCTCTATAGTAGGAACCTATTTCGATAGACCTCTCTCTATAGTTGGAACCTATTTTGATAGGCCTCTCCGTATAGTAGGAACCCAGGAACCTATTTCGATAGGCCTCTCTCTATAGAAGGAACCTATTTCGGTAGGCCTCACTGTAGAGTAGAAACCCAGGAACGTATTTCAATCGGTCTCTCTGTATGCTAAGGACCCAAGGTGCGACTACTTGTATATTTATTTATCTAGAAAACTCAGTTAATCTGTTTTGAATGTAGAAGGTCACCCTAAGCACATAAAGAAATGTAATGTATAGAGGAGAGTTTGACAAATCCGAATTGCGGGATGGCAATTTTTTTTCTTTCTATTTATTTACTTTTTTTGTTTGCATGATGACATTTTTAAAATAGCGAGAGCCAGGAATTCCGAAATCCCCAAGGCAGTTAAGCGAGATAGGAAGATTACATGGAAAGGAAGATTGGCTTGATCTGTAGCAGCAGAAAGATCGGCAGATTGATAGATTGCTTTTTTTTTAATAGATATGAACAGATGGAGTCGGTTGCGAAAAAAATGAATCAGATATGAATAGACACGGGCAGACTGAGAAATACACGTAAAATAACATAATAAATAACAGCAGATAGATCAATAAATATATGATTTGGGTGGTTGAGTACATAAATCAATAAATATATGACCAGACTTATAGATAAGTAGGTATTTACGTAATCCTCTACATTATTTACTTGTAGTCTATTGTCCATATGTTTGTAGTTACCAGTCAAAACATTCCGGCCCTTATACTATAGTGACTTCATCAGTTGCTTGTCGATACAGGTAAACTTTCGTTGACCATGTCTATGGATATTTCGTCTGGTTCTAATTTAAGAACTGCGCAGTTATTGCTCACACAGTTTTTTTCACGGAGTCCAAATATTCACTGTCTACGGACTGAACTCCCAATTACTGTCACCAAATGCATGAAGCAACGCCTTAATCCATATATATATATATATATATATATATATATATATATATATATATATATATATATATATATATATATATATATATATATATATATATAAAAAGAGAGAGAGAGAGAGAGATGAAAGGTATCATCAATGGAAAACACTTTTAAGGCAAGCAGTCTTTGCAATTAAAATGCTCGATATTGCGCGGGAGAGAGGGGAAAAGAGAGTAGGGATAGCAGTTGTTTAAGTAAAGGCATTCATTTCTATCTTTGGGGACACTTGAAGGCCATGGTGTATCAGGTGAAGATACGAGACATAAATCATCCCAAGGAACGTATCACTAACGCCATTAAATGCATAACATCAACAATGCTAATCAGTGTTCATCAACAGTAGGAAACACGTATCAATGTGTTTTTGAAACAATGGAATAAAGGCATGGTTAAGCGAAATTGTCAACATTTTCAATAAGAAAAAAAAATGAGGAAAAAGAGACAGGAAAATGCACTGAAAGACAAAGCGAAGCAACTATAAAACAACAACAAAGTAAAAGATGTACAAAATAGAAATAGTGTTCACACGCAAAATGCATACAGTCAAATGTTTGTCGATGACTGATGTCAATGAAAGAAAGGAAAAACTGTGCGTGTAAGTCTGAGAATTAGCCGTTTTGATTGGCTAGAAATAAATCACAGTATGCATCTGTAAGATTTGTCTATAAATTGAGAGGCGTCATATTTAGCACTCATTACCACAAGTAATAAAAAATTAGATATTCATAGTTTGATTTCCAGGGTGATTACATCCACTCCTCAGGAGACTTGACTGAAAAATATACAAGTTGATTATGAGTTAAGTTCATTGATGAAAAATGATTTTTGAGAGATACAGGTCGCAACTCTATATTGCTGCAAGACAAGTTTTACGGCCTTATCGCGTTGAAACACCGGTTCCTGTACGGCCAACAAAGTTAAGCAACATCAAGCCTGGTCAGTATCTAGAAGGTGCTTGTTAATAACAGGTGCTGTAAGCTTTTGTTGTGCCTACAGTGTAATTGATAAAGATAGGAATTGTTAATCGGAGAGCCGACTTCTAATTGCCATTGGGTTCGTTATATTCCCTGACGCGAAAATACACTTGGGAAAAGTATGAATTCACATTTTCTCCCCCTGATATGAGTTAATTAGTAAAACTTGTATGACCAAACAATTATTATCTAAAAAAAAAAAAATTAGAATTTAAAAATAAATTTCTGGCTTTAAAGCGTTGATAACCTATAGAAAATTAAACGATCAATGAATCAATCAAGTTTTTTCACATTTTATAAGGCTACCTATTGCCAAACTTCTGACGCCCATAAAAAGAGAGATGTACATGAAAACAGAAAAGAATATTCAAGCAGATAATGCCTGGAAGTAATGTTCATAGCAAGTATTGAACAAAATCAATGGCTGGAAAGATTTTGAAGTCAATACAATGTCAAGGAGTCCATATTAACGAATAAAAATGCACGTACAGTTATTTTTCAAGCGTAGATCAGATGTAGCACAAGGTTAAAGTATGGGACACCCAGTGAGGATCGAACTCACTACTCAGTCGTAATTGTTCTAGAAAGAGAAGCTTGCTAACCATTACACCACCTCGAGGTACTCAATTCCATGCCTGTATATCTGATATTTTATTTCTCAAATATACCTTTCCGTTGCCTATATCGATTGGATTTATATACAGAATGGACCAAAAGTTTCCATACATAGGAAAGTGCATCGGCATTTGGATCATCAGTTTCTTGACGCTTGGATTGGTCGGCGTGATCCTGTGGTGTGGCCTCCAAGATCTCCAGGTCTCTCCCCTCTTCATTTCTATCTTTGGGGGAAACTTGAAGGCCATCTTCGTCAAGTGAAGATACGAGACATAAATCATCTCAAGGAACGTATCACCAATGCCATTACAAGCATAACATCAATTGTGCCAATGCGTGTTCATCAACAGTAGGAAACACGTATCAATATGTGTTTTTGAAACAATGGCAATCATATAGATGTTTGTTTTGTTTGTGTTTTACGGCATATCAACCTCGTTGGGTTATTTAATGCCAATAATAGATATCCGGGCCTTGATAGCTAGATAGACAGTTGGCCATTCATACTTCGATATAAAGATATATATGTTGATATTTACACCTAGACAGATAGCTTGATATATAGACAGTTATTCTGATATTCCGGCCTTAGAAGCTCTTGCAAGTATTTTAGCAGAGCTTAATCGTGGCATTGGGTTAGGTTATAAAAAGGAAAAAAAAATTGTTATGGATACCGATTCATATAAAGCACATTATATAAATAAAAACGTTTTTTTTATATATATGGAAACTTATGGCTCACCGTATCTATCTATCTATCTATCTATCTATCTATATATATATATATATATATATATATATATATATATATATATATATATATATATGTACAAGTATATGTTTGGTGTATACGGAATAAATTCCAATAACCAACAATCACTATTCTTAAAAGATTGCTCAATACAATATTTTTATACTGATTTTATAAAATATTTATGTTATAATTTTAAATAAATAATTATATATATATGTATATATACATATGTGTGTGTAGGTGTATATATATATATATATATATATATATATATATATGTATATATATATATATATATATATATAACAACTTTTAAAATAGGGATCATAATTTAATATCGAATACAATGAATATAATCGCGATTAAATAATGGAATTAAATTACTGAAGGGATCGTTTCTTTAAATTTACTTGCAGGAAGATGGAGCTCCACCTCATTATGGTCATCAAGTGTGTCGGTATTTGGATCAGCAGTTTCCCAATACTTAGATTCGTCGACAATGTCCTGTGGAGTGGCCTTCAAGATCCCCAGATCTCTACCCGCTTGACTTCTATCTTTGGCGGCACTTGAAGGCCATGGTGAGGGCACAGGATATAAATCATCTCAAGGGACGTATCACCAACATCATTACATGCATAACTTCAGCTGTGTTAATCCGTGTTTATCAAAAGTGGGAAACACATATTAATGTTTTCGAAACAATGGTAATCATTTAGAGAACATTATATAAATAAAACGGTTGTTTAACATTAAATGATTATTTTTTCCATGTATGGAAACTTATTGCCCACCCTGTATAATAAAAAAAAGTATATTTCATTCTGCTCGCCTAATGTAATTTGACCCTCTGTAAACACATTCGTCGGCATCCGTCCGACTCGTGAGGCGATGGAGTAGCGCCAACGCTGGAGTGTCCTCTCCAGTGCGCTACGAGCCTGGGCAGGATGTCTGGAGAACTAGGGCTGCCCGGACGTCTAGTCCCCTCTCTCGGCCTTGCTAGCAAAATCGAAAGGAAAGGATGAACCAATAAAGTTTGGTACCAGCGCGGCTGCAGGAGTTGCTGGAAGGTAGCACAGAGTGCCGTCCATTCGCCTTAGGGGCTCCACTCCGGATTTGTGTAGGGTTTACTCTTTAGCCTTTTCTTCTCCCGAAGATTTCCACAAGGCAGTGGAGCTATTTAACCCATAGAACCAGGGCGTGTCCACACACCGGTGGGCCTGCATGCCGCATGTTAAGGGGGCCAAACTCCTCCCCCGTCCCCTGTAGTTTAGCCCAAGTCCGCAAAGTGCTTGGTTGCCATCTGTCACCACGAGAAGGCACTACATAGTGCTTGCTGGTGGAGAGGCTATATACTGGCAGGGGAAGACTTACGCACTCGGCTCCCCTTTTCGCATTTCTGCTAGTCAGCGGCAGTAACTGAAAGCGAGAGGCGACAAGCACTAACACTACAGACGACCACACTAGACGCAT